ATGGAGATCACACCTAGCAAACGAGCAGTGCATACGGAACCCGAGTCGAGCTTTCAAATCCTGAACACTGAAGAGAGCGATGAAGACATGGCTTGTCGTTTTTTGGTACCTTGTTGCACTTTTCTCTCGTTGAAATCAAATTCAAAGACTTCCAGTAATGGTATGCGATACATTGCAAACGAAGGATGTACATTGGTACAGTAAGCAAAATACAAAAGTGTAGGACGGGTATATAACAGCCGAGGAAACCACCGAAAGACAAGAATAAGTTCTACAAATACTCCATACCGCCAAGGACAAGCAGCATTGCCAACATCTCCTAGTACTACTGCTTAAACTGAATCCTTCCTCGCTTCCAGCCCAGGCCAATCGTCTCGACGAGTCGGAAGAGGCTCTTCCAAACCTTTCCCTCCTTTCCTTTGAGACTGTACAAAGACAACTAATGAAAGCACAATTAGGGCAGTCAGAGTAAGCCATCCAAACCATGCGAAAGCTTCCAGTGCGGATAGAACTTGGCAGGTTTGGAATTGTTGGCAAAATGAGAGGTCTCCCCAAAGCGCCTGTGGAGAGTGGACGTCAAGTTAGTTTTTTGGTTGTCACAAAATCGAATTCACGGTGGACGGACGGACTGAAAGGTAAGGAAGGAAGAAAATATGCACGTACCGAAGCAGCAGCAGCTCCTCCGACCCAAAAGAACCACAAAACGATTATACCTATAAGTTCTTCACCATGTCGCTTCAAGAATGGGATCTTCAATGCGTCACTGAAGAACAAAACGAGCCTATAAAGCGTACAGATGCCAGTCAGAACTCAATCACAAAGTACGCGCAATCACAACTTACATGAGACCAGACCATGCCATTGTTACCAGTGTGGTGAAGATGAGTTCCGGGATAACTGGATCTGTAATATGCACGAATTATCAGAGATTGGCCGAGAGCTTAAGTGATTCAAGTGAAAGAAATATTCAGCGGCTAGGCTTTGGACGTACCGTAAAATGATATCCCTCTATTCAATGGATCTGTTCGAGAGAGATGAAGGGTGTAGTTGATACGGGCGCACGATAGGGCGAAGAGGATGAACGAGAATATGAGCTGCATTTACAGAGAAAGAAAAACGCGAGTCTGTTTCATTCAAGTTGTACTAAACGAAAAAAACACACACCAAGGCTACATACAACCCAGCGCGGATCCAGCCTATTTTACTGCCCATGGTACTTTTGCCGAGATCGCGCGGAATACCCAGTTAAGATTAAGGAAAGAACGAGAATTAAAGGACCCGGACGAATAGAGGTAGAGAGAGGAAAAGAGCTTGATGCCTAGGCCAGGAGGTCTATAGCTCGAGAAAAAAAGAGAGCGGGTTGAGACGCGCCAGCCGTCCCGAAAGATGAGATATTATTTGGTTAGGTCAGGCCTCGAGTGAGGAGTGAAGAGGAGACGTTGACTACGACGCGGACGGTGGGTATAAGAAGCCAGAACAATTGCGCTCATTGTCACAGTCCCGAGAAAGTTCTCATCATCATCATGACAACCCGCACGGACTATACAGAGAACATTACGCCCAACAGATATGATCGACAGACGCAATTCAAAGCAAATGATCATAAATGACTTTGCGCGCAGACACAGCTAGACACAGGCGGCCGCACACAGCAAGGGGCGGCATTCATGTGGTTTGAGGTAGAGGAGCGATGGAACAAGCCTTGTACAAGCCACGCACGCATTCAGATGCAAATGAAGTCGGGAAGTTTGGCAACATGTACACAAAAATATATTCGAGACTTAAAACTACATAGTACAAGCTAAGATAGATCTGGCGACAAGCGCACCGCTCCATCGATGCCATCCACGTATCATCATCCGTCACCCTCTCGAACGGATAAAACTATCCCAACGCGGTTTACAAGAGCTCACATCATAATCTGCGCAACAATCCATGCAGTCAGAACTCATTCGGCCAAAAAAAGAATAACTATAAAAAAAACTCACCGAAACTTCCCCGTTGAGAACATGCACATTGTCCCTTTTCCCAAATATCATTCGGAAGAGGGCAATGAGCCCAATCATCATGTTGGTATCCAATCTCCTGAAAAAAGTGGATTTGGTCCGCTTTGAGGAATAGGGATGCGGCGATACTGTGAACGGGGGCATCACCCCAGCGCTTTATAAGAGTGAAAGTTAGCGCAGTTGCAAGAAAGAATGGCAGGGCAGGTAGACGAACGAACCTCGTAGTAGAACCCGCCGTGCAAATCCAGGTGGTCGAAGAACGCGCTGTATGCTGGACCACGCCAAAAGTCCATATCGGCAATTTCGAAATTGCTCCAAACTGGAATGAGGATTGCGGTCGATATTAGTAACTAGGAGAAAGGATTATACATACAATGACATCGGTTATAAGTCAGTCCGTTGTTGTCAGAGATGAATCCCATGGCATTGTCGTCCGCTATGTACTCGGGATGCTCTTTGATGAAATCTATGAGTCAGCCGTTAGCTTTCAACAAGGAGGGAATACGGAACTAATACCTGTGACGGCTGGCCACAGACTCCGGATGGTCGCAGGGATTTCATATACTGCGATAGTGAATCCTGAGTGATGAGAGCGGAAAATAAGTATGGGAGGGAAGGGGTAATAACACAGATAAGACATACCGTATACCTTGTTGTTCTCCTCCATGTATTTGAATGGGTCATTGTCGATGTTGCAGTAAAATTTCACGTTAGGTCTGTCGATGGGATGTTATTATACGATCGATATGTGTGATGAAATGTGCGTACTCGACACGCCAGTACCATTTATATTGTTGAAGCAATTTATGTCTGTAGAAAAACTAACGAACGGCTTTCAGTTCAGAGGGAAAAGAAGAATAAGGGACGCCTATCCTACCCCGAGTTGAAGCGGCACATGCTTCTATACGCGACACTGCCTGTTACATTGATTAACACAAAATCCAAGGTCCAGATAGAACACTAACCTCCGTATTTCACGTTCGCAGCTTGCATTTGTTTTCGAGCCTCAGAGGCCTTCTCTTCATTAATCCAATCCGGTTGAGACCAGTGCTCCTTCGGAATTAAGCCAAATTTCATTTTAGAAAAAGTCAGCGCGGAAACGCGCCTGGAAAATGGACGTTGTTAGCTGTAGATTTAGTCAAAAATCCATACACGTACCGTTTGAATTCCGTAGTGAATGGCTCGTCATTTAAGAGAACATACGGGTATCCAAATTTCGAATTGAATCGATCTTCCAAAGCCCTAATACTGCTGATAGTCCCATCCAAATCCGAATTTCGTACTAGCATTACGAAAGTAGCATTGGCAAGACTTTGATTGTATGCATTATTGGAGGGAAAGACTGCGGGTGGGGAATCATCGGGTTCATTATGAGCTGGATTGAAAGATTCATCCAGTAAATCTTCTTCTTCCTCTCCTAGTAATTCTTCGTCTTGGAAATACGGAGCTGTGAATTTCGACAAGGAAGTAGCTTCTCGGTATTGATCGTGTGTTAAAGATAAGATGTAATGGAGAGTTATCTGCGGCAAGAAAATAATTATTCAAGCACCATAGTAGTTCAATTGCGGGCGTACCATAGCAATAAAAATTGCAACTACATATCGAAGTAGGCGCGGCATGACAGCCTACCCTGCGCTGCGTAAAGTTCTCCTGGCTTAGGCAAGAGGATAGCGCGATTAAAGCATTGATTTCGAGCGGGAGAGTGCCCTTTATAGGCAGAGAACGACGACGATTATATGAATAATGCAGAATCCAGCAGACAAATCGTTGCAAGCGCCACGTGTACCACGAGCGTTAACTTTAAATAAAGCTAATGATTATACTTAGAAACGATAGGTTCGGAGCAAGCCCTTTGCTCCGGCCCGGTAACGGGTGATCCTTCTACGAAGCTTTGTTTGTTCACCAAACAAGATCCAAAAGGGATGCGGAGTGATCGGGGCTTGATCCGAACCTATAGAAACGATTAACCATCCTCAACTTACGAGTACTACCTATGGCATTCAAGCTTGATTCGTTCAATTTCTCGAGTCTCGACTATGTACATAAATTTTTATTTGGTTTGAGGCGCTGGCTAGTACAGAACCCAGCCCAGATATCATACAGGTCAATCAAAGGTTAATCATCTCGTATTCTACGCCTATGGCTGCATTTCCCTATAGATTCAAACAACATAATCAGTCTTCATAGACGCACATCCCAAGCAATTCAACTCACACCAAACGCCTGATAATTCTCGACGATAATCAACGCAAATTGACCCGGAGGCGCCGATCCGCTAAACTTTGGCGTAAGTAATGCAGAGTATGTTGGGCCCTCTTCTCCAAAACCTGGTGCAACGGGAGCCAAATCTGTTGCGAGAATGACACCGTCTATTTCAGTGAGGGTTTCGGTGCCAACTGGAACGGCTTCGAGGAGGACAGAGATGGATTGGCTGGACTCTTCAAAGTAACGACCGGAAACCCAGGTGACGTTGATTGCCTGTAAAATGTTGTATTTAGTAGTGAGATACGTTTTGACAGTGGCTTAAATAACGCACCCCATCGACCTCAACTACAGTCGAACCAGCAGTAGGTGAAACAAAGGTTCCAGCTGATACGACAGCTGCAGAGACGGCGAATACTAAGCTTCTCAGGCCAAACATAGTTCGAATGTGCTGATTAATGAAGGGCAAGTGCAATTTGTCGTTTGTTTTATACAATTGGTCTTTTCAAAAGGCGGTCTGGTCACCCCGCCGCCAAGACCATGTATATATCAATTTCGTGACAATGATGCGTAGCGCCCTGCAATGCCCTTGGGACCAGCCTTGGACCAGCCTTGGACCTTGCGGCTTGAAGCGCCCGAGTGCGGTGAGTAGGACCGTCAAACGCCGGTGACCGGTCTCGATCTTCAATCATGCAACTTGGCGAGGGCTAGAACAAAGATACTGGCGAATGCAAAGTATTTCCTCAGATCAAACTAGTAGGACTAAACAGTGTATGGGAACATGGAAACCATGTCCGCGTAACTCAGTGGTAGAGTGTGAGATTGCAACTACTTGTGCATTATCTTGAAGCCGCGTGTTCGAACCACGCCGCGGACTTCCGTGGAGTGTATCTCCCTTGTTTTTTATTCATTATTGAAAAAAAACAACAACATTTGGCAAATAGGATGCGTTGACTACTGTACTTATTTTTCCTTACTGTACACAATCTTATAAATAAAGGTTCTACGATGTCTATTTAGAGTCTATGGGTGAAACAAAGAATCAGAAGAGTAAACAGCGACCGTGTATGAGTGAGTACATGTATGGTACATGCTTGCATAGAAAGAAAGAAGAGAAATCTAACGTAAGTAAAGGCATATGTCATAGTACATACACGATTGCGCGTTTTGGATAGTAATGCGAACAACAGAACTGGGACGAAAGGCGGAAAGAGGAAAAGGCAGATGAAGGGAGACACTACTACTACATAGAGTTGGAGGAACGAAATGAGAAACATGGGAGCAAAGAGTTCGGAAGGAAAAGATAAAAAGGAATAGAGAAAAAGGTATCACGAGGGAAAGGGGTAACGGTAGATGAAATATTGAACATAACAATGAAACATGCACAAATAATGTTGATTTTTAGAAGCGAAGGAGATTGCGGTTCAAAGAGGTTGCGGTCACGAAGTAGAGCTCGTTCCCTCCCTCTTCTTCTGTTTCCCAGTCGAAAACATCAGCACATCCTCATCATCGTCCTCCGCTTCCATGTCATCCCCATCATCATCCTCCACACTCCCCACCTCCCTGACATATCGCGTTCGTCTGGTAGAAGCAGTCGCAAAGGCCAACGACGGCGATAACGGCGTCGTCGGACTAGGTACTTCGGATCCAGATCCAGAGGCAGTTCCATAGGCAGACGATGCAGACCCATGGAACCCACCGCTATCTACCCGCTCAGGCGCAAACGACTTGATGATCCCCAACCCTTCCAGCTCCGGAGGATGATGGTCCCATGAAGAAGTCCGCCGTACTCGACCTTTCGATGCCAAAAGTGCAACATCGTCCGACCAATAAGCCCGATCCTCGAAATCAACATCGTCGTCGAATTCATCTGCGTCTTGCTTGATACTACCGCCACCATCTTCGTATTCAAAATCGAACTCATCTTCATCAGACCCTTCGAGGGAGCAGGGGCGAACGGTACCAGCACCGCTACCACTACCACTACCAAGAGCAGCGTAAACTCCTGTGGGTATACCAGAACCTGATGTAACAACATCCTCTACTCCACTGCGACCTGTTACCTCTGTTGTCCTTGCAGACGCAACAACGATATCCGAAGAAGCTGAGAGATTGCGCGAATGAGGTGTAAAATGACCCAAAGACACTGAACTCCTCCATCCAGATCTTGAGCGCGATGAAAGCGTCGAGAGGATTCTGTGCACTGGGGATGTCGATACGGGGCTTTGGGATCCTACTTTGGGTAGGTCGTGAGGGTGCGGAACGAAAGTAGAATTCGAACTAGACTTACCCGGAGAAGGTGTGATTGGTGTTGGTAAATTCCACGTAGAGGACGGAGACGGCGAGAGAGATGGTGAAGGGGGTAACGGCGATGACATTGGTCTGGGTGTATTGTTTGGTGAGTCGGACAGATCCTTCGCTTTCCCTTTCCCCTTGTCTTGACGGTACTCCCGTGAGAGTGAAGGTAATCGTCGAGTCCCGTTATCACTCATCCGAGGTGTTCTCTCGCTATCCCTCTCCTCTCGCCTATTCCCTTCCTTCGCCCTCCGCTCCTTCTTACTCCTCGCGCCCATAGTGCCAGCAACAGCAGCCTCCAGCTTGTCGATCTCTCCCCTGCGCCTTTCCCTCCCTCCTCTACCTTTCGTATCAATCTCCCCTCCAACAGTCTGCCTTTCCGTAGCCTCCCGCCTCGCCCTCGATCGCATATTCGGCTCGCTAGTAACCGGGCCACGGTCACGCAGGGAATTACTATCGTCATTGGTTTTCCTCTTACTCCTTCCCTTTCCTCGTGCCCTATCTCTCCACCTCCCCTTTCCTGTCTCTGGTGACAGATTCCTATTTTTGCCTGAATTCCCCAAGTTACCAGAAAGCCCTCTCCTAGACGAATTCGCATTCCTATCGGAAGTTACAGCAACATTCGACGACGAAGAAACGTTGGGAGAAGAAGCAGATGCCGATGCATGCGCCGATGATGACGATGGAGCTCCAGCTGCAGCAAAGTGCGAAGGAAGCGAGTCACGAGAGCGGGAGGGAACAGCACCGCGAAGAAAGTTGGTTATGCGATGGGACAGACGGCTGAGGCTGCCTCGGTGTTGGACTTGATGGGTTGAGGTGTGTACTTCCTGGCCCTGAGTGGAAACGGCCAGCCGAGTGGCAGGCGCAGTATTAGACGATCGACCTTCGCTTTGGGCTTCCCCAGCTCTACCCACACCCATGCTGTTACTTGCACTGATCGGCACACCGATCCCACTGGTCGGTCGACTTCCACTCCGACTGCCCGGACGACTCCCTGCGCGATTCCCAAATGGATTCCACCTAAATTTGGCAACGCTCATCGCATCATCCCTCTCTTGCTCCGTAACGTTGATTTTTTCGACAGTGGTGAGAGAACTTGTGATGGATTCTTGCCCCAAAGCGGCAGAATCACGACTGGGAGTAGCATTTTGGTACGTTGAAGAAGCCGAGGAAGAGGCGGAGGCAGAGAAGGTGGAAGCAAACGTAGAGGTAGACGTGATCCTCTCCCTCTGCACAGTCATCCTCTCCGTCATATCCGTCGTTCTCCGAAGTCGACCAGGCAGGCATCCTAGCGTCCAAGATTGGTATGTTGCTCTCCGTCGATATCGATTGGTCCGATGGACCAGTAAAAGCAGCCGGAAGGAGCATCAGCAGGGGAAGTCATCCTCAGCCAAAAGTCCGGATTTGGAAGGTCGTGCAGGAACCATTGGTTCATCTAGGCAAATATTTTAAAGGTTAGCGATGCAGGGGAGAATGAGGAAAGACAGCAAGTAAATGAGTGAATGAAAGATGGGAATTCATTCACGCCTAAGCGACCTGTGTAACCTATAGTCGAAGAAACAGCGCAAAGACAACAGCCGCAAAAGCCAAAACCTGAATCCCCCCAAAAAAAACTGAACCTTACCTTAACCTCCTCAAGTGTAATCCGACAATCCAAATCCTTCTGTAAAAAATGATCCAAAAGGTGCATTATAATCGCGCCTTCTTTCGATTTCGTTCTTGAGGCTTCGTCTGCGTTGTGTTAGTCACAATATGGCCGCTAAGTGGTATGATTATGATAGTCTTACCATCAGAATTAGCATCATCCTCCGTATCCCACCGTGATAGACTATTCAAAGTCTCTCCACCCCACCTTCCGCCCGTCTCAACCCGATCATACCCCATTGTCTCTGGCACCGTCCACTCGCTATTACACACCCAGTTGTAATGGAAGAATTCATTTCTTCTCGGGTCGTTGAATTGGAGAAGTTGCGGAGACTCGGGGTCGACGTCGCCACCTGTTCCTGACAAAGCCAACACCTCTGCGCGCCTTGCCCTCAGCCGCCTGCGCGCGCTCTTCCAGATCCCAACTAACTTGAAACGGTGTATTGCCGAATAATAAGCAGTACAACGTCACGCCTAAAGCCCAGTATGTCGATGGACTTGGTTACAGGAGGACGAGGTGGGGGTGTCGCGCCTTCTGTAAGGGAGGAAGACCAAAGAAGGGAAGAGCGTTAATTAGGGTCTTCGACAATAGCTTGGCTAATAAACTAGGGGAAAGAAACGTGTGGTACTAACCGGCCACCTTTGTATGCTCCCAAACGATTTCTGGAGCCAAAAACGCAGGAGTTCCCGCTCGTTTCGCGAGATCTGCATCATTCAGGAGGAGCGGGTCTTCTTCTGTCTCCAGGAGGGTACTAGAGCCGGAGGCTTTGGCTGCTGCGAGGCGTTGAGCGTAACTACATCCAATGCAGGCGAGATGGAGGAGGAACAGAAAACGAATGTATCGTTAACAAAAAGCATAGAGTAACACAATTCCATGACTCACCTAAAATGCGCTGTCCCGAAATCGGCAATCTTCACCCTATCGTGACCTTCGGTCCACAGTAAGTTGGCGGGTTTGATATCACGATGGATGATTCCTAAACCAGAACGAACCAAGTTAGTACTAGTGTTTCTGTAGCTCAAGTCCAAAAAAACGAAAGATTTCGCATCTCCTCGTCCAAATTTCGACCAAAGAAACTCTCCCTTAAAAACCCAACTCACCCTGATGATGCAGATACTCCAGCCCCAAAATCGCATCTCTCATAATTCTTCTGGTCTGGTCGACCCTAAGAAGTGGCTCTCCATTGGAGTTGGCGTATTTGACTTCGCCTCCACCAAGATATTCCATTACTATGTGAAGGCAGTCAGTTAGGAAGACATGAAGGTATAAACGGAAGAAACCGAGTCGTATGGATCGACAGAAGAGAGACAAAACGAATGAAGAAGGGTAGGCAGCTAGGAGCGCAAACTCACCCATGAACACCATATCGTTCTTTCTATCATCGATAACCTCATACAGCCTAACCACATGCGGATGTCTACACTTTTTCATAATCGCAATCTCTTCCTAATTTCCTGTTCAGCGGTACGGATACCATCCACTACAGTGGGTGTTGTGCGAGGTTTCCCGAGTAAGCCGTTCCCGTTCCCACTTCCACTCCCATTCGAATTGCCTTCTCTCGATTCCTTTGCTCTCGCTCTCATCATTTTCATCTGTCTATTCTTCTTCGCAAGGGGAGTATCCCGCTTGACGATCTTCATCGCCAGAACTCCTTTCCCTGTCCTACCAAGGCTATCGCCGTTGCGGTTGGAGTCCTCGGTAAGAAGGTTGTAGTAATCGGCGTTGGAGTAACAGCGCCAGACGTATCCGTGATGACCTTGGCCGACTCTGGCGTCCATGACATATTGCTGCGAGGAGAGAGTGCGTTTGCGGGAAGGAGGAAGGAGGTAGGGTGTAGGACGGAGGTTAAGGGAGGTAGGGTGCAAGATGGAGGTTGGAGAGTCAAATAGCAAAATAAACAGACGTCAGTAAAAAACTCCCAAAATTCAATGAGTCGG